TGGCTAGGCCACTCCAGGACCTTGAGATGCTTCTTACGGAGCCACTCCTTAGTTGCCCTGGCTGTGTGTTTCGGGTCGTTGTCATGCTGGAAGACCCAGCCACGACCCATCTTCAATGCTGTTATTGAGGGAAGGAGGTTGTTGGCCAAGATCTCGCGATACATGGCCCCATCCATCCTCCCCTCAATACGGTGCAGTCGTCCTGTCCCCTTTGCAGAAAAGCATCCCCAAATAATGATGTTTCCACCTCCATGCTTCACGGTTGGGATGGTGTTCTTGGGGTTGTACTCATCCTTCTTCTTCCTCCAAACACGGCGAGTGGAGTTTAGACCAAAAAGCTCTATTTTTGTCTCATCAGACCACATGACCTTCTCCCATTCCTCCTCTGGATCATCCAGATGGTCATTGGCAAACTTCAGACGGGCCTGGACATGCGCTGGCTTGAGCAGCGGGACCTTGCGTGTGCTGCAGGATTTTAATCCATGACGGCGTAGTGTGTTACTAGTGGTTTTCTTTGAGACTGTGGTCCCAGCTCTCTTCAGGTCATTGACCAGGTCCTGCCGTGTAGTTCTGGGCTGATCCCTCACCTTCCTCATGATCATTGATGCCCCACGAGGTGAGATCTTGCATGGAGCCCCAGACCGAGGGTGATTGACCGTCATCTTGAACTTCTTCCACTTTCTAATAATTGCGGCAACAGTTGTTGCCTTCTCACCAAGCTGCTTGCCTATTGTCCTGTAGCCCATCCCAGCCTTGTGCAGGTCTACAATTTTATCCCTGATGTCCTAACACAGCTCTCTGGTCTTGGCCATTGTGGAGAGGTTGGAGTCTGTTTGATTGAGTGTGTGGACAGGTGTCTTTTATACAGGTAACGAGTTCAAACAGGTGCAGTTAATACAGGTAATGAGTGGAGAACAGGAGGGCTTCTTAAAGAAAAACTAACAGGTCTGTGAGAGCCGGAATTCTTACTGGTTGGTAGGTGATCAAATACTTATGTCATGCAATAAAATGCAAATTAATTACTTAAAAATCATACAATGTGATTTTCTGGATTTTTGTTATAGATTCCGTCTCTCACAGTTGAAGTGTACAGTGGGGGAAAAAAGTATTTAGTCAGCCACCAATTGTGCAAGTTCTCCCACTTAAAAAGATGAGAGAGGCCTGTAATTTTCATCATAGGTACACGTCAACTATGACAGAAAAAATTGAGGAAAATAAATTCAGAAAATCACATTGTAGGATTTTTAATGAATTTATTTGCTAATTATGGTGGAAAATAAGTATTTGGTCACCTACAAACAAGCAAGATTTCTGGCTCTCACAGACCTGTAACTTCTTCTTTAAGAGGCTCCTCTGTCCTCCACTCGTTACCTGTATTAATGGCACCTGTTTGAACTTGTTATCAGTATAAAAGACACCTGTCCACAACCTCAAACAGTCACACTCCAAACTCCACTATGGCCAAGACCAAAGAGCTGTCAAAGGACACCAGAAACAAAATTGTAGACCTGCACCAGGCTGGGAAGACTGAATCTGCAATATGTAAGCAGCTTGGTTTGAAGAAATCAACGGTGGGAGCAATTATTAGGAAATGGAAGACATACAAGACCACTGATAATCTCCCTCGATCTGGGGCTCCACGCAAGATCTCACCCCATGGGGTCAAAATGATCACAAGAACGGTGAGCAAAAATCCCAGAACCACACGGGGGGACCTAGTGAATGACCTGCAGAGAGCTGGGACCAAAGTAACAAAGCCTACCATCAGTAACACACTACGGCGCCAGGGACTCAAATCCTGCAGTGCCAGACGTGCCCCCCTGCTTAAGCCAGTACATGTCCAGGCCCGTCTGAAGTTTGCTAGAGTGCATTTGGATGATCCAGAAGAGGATTGGGAGAATGTCATATGGTCAGATGAAACCAAAATATAACTTTTTGGTAAAAACTCAACTCATCGTGTTTGGAGGACAAAGAATGCTGAGTTGCATCCAAAGAACACCATACCTACTGTGAAGCATGGGGGTGGAAACATCATGCTTTGGGGCTGTTTTTCTGCAAAGGGACCAGGACGACTGATCCGTGTAAAGGAAAGAATGAATGGGGCCATGTATCGTGAGATTTTGAGTGAAAACCTCCTTCCATCAGCAAGGGCATTGAAGATGAAACGTGGCTGAGTCTTTCAGCATGACAATGATCCCAAACACACCGCCCGGGCAACGAAGGAGTGGCTTCGTAAGAAGCATTTCAAGGTCCTGGAGTTGCCTAGCCAGTCTCCAGATCTCAACCCCATAGAAAATCTTTGGAGGGAGTTGAAAGTCCGTGTTGCCCAGCGACAGCCCCAAAACATCACTGCTCTAGAGGAGAACTGCATGGAGGAATGGGCCAAAATACCAGCAACAGTGTGTGAAAACCTTGTGAAGACTTACAGAAAACGTTTGACCTGTGTCATTGCCAACAAAGGGTATAGAACAAAGTATTGAGAAACTTTTGTTATTGACCAAATACTTATTTTCCACCATAATTTGCAAATAAATTTTTTTTCTAATTTTGTCTGTCATAGTTGACATGTACCTATGATGAAAATGACAGGCCTCTCTCATCTTTTTAAGTGGGAGAACTTGCACAATTGGTGGCTGACTAAATACTTTTTTCCCCCACTGTACCTATGATAAACATTACGGACCTCTACATGCTTTGTAAGTAGGAAAACCTGCAAAATCGGCAGTGTATCAAATACTTGTTCTCCCCACTGTATGCACGCACCACTTTTCCGTTATAAATTGTTTAGCATTTTTTGAAACAAGTTATTTTTTTCATTTCACTTTACCAATTTGGACTATTTTGTGTATGTCCATTACATGAAATCCAAATAAAAATAAATTTAAATTACAGGTTGTAATGCAACAAAATAGGAAAAACACCAAGGGGGATGAATACATTTGCAAGGCACTGTAAAGGACTCTCATACCATGAGAAACAAGATTCTCTGCTCTGATTAAACCAAGATTGAACTCTTTGGCCTGAATGACAAGTGTCACTTCTGGAAGAAACCTGGCACCATCCCTACGGTGAAGCATGATGGTGGCAGCATCATGCTGTGGGGATGTTTTTCAGCGGCAGGGACTGGGAGACTAGTCAGGATCGAGGGAAAGATGAACGGAGCAAAGTACAGAGAGATCCTTGATGAAAACCTGCTCTAGAGCGCTCAGGAACTCAGACTGGGACGAAGGTTCACCTTCCAACAGGACAACAACCCTAAGCACACAGTCAAGACAACGCAGGAGTGGCTTCAGAACAAGTCTTTGAATGTCCTTGAGTGGCCCCGCCAGAGCCCGAACTTCAACCCGATCGAACATCTCTGGAGAGAACTGAAAATAGCTGTGCAGCGATGCTCCCCATCCAACCTGACAGAGCTTGAGAGGATCCCACGGGGGGCCAGTATGATTTTTTTTTAAAAATAATAATCTATGGATAAGAATGTCTGCTCAATGACTAAAATGTAAATGTAATGAATGGGAGAAACTCCCCAAATACAGGTGTGCCAAGCTTGTAGCGTCATACCCAAGAAGACTCAAGGCTGTAATCAATGCCAAAGGTGCTTCAACAAAGTACTGAGTAAAGGATCTGAATACTTATGTAAATGTGATTTGAGTTTTTATTTTAATTTTAAAATGTGTACACATTTCTAAAAAACAGTTTTTGCTTTGTCGTTATGGGGTATTGTGTGTAGACTGGTGAGGAGAATAAACAATTTAATCCATTTTAGAATAAGGCTGTAACGTAACAAAATGTGGAAAAAGTCAAGGGGTCTGAATACTTTCTGAATGCACTGTATATGCTTAGTTGCAGTCAAAACAGCTGACAAGTCTGTCAGTGGTATGAATTATTGGTAGAACTGTAATTCAGAAACCAGCTACCCTCAATGTATGGATATATATAAAAATAATAATAATCCTATAATATTATATACGTGCAACGTATGATATTTTGGGTGCTATAATATTTGGTTTGAAGTGACTGAGGATTTGGGCATGCTTTTTGAAGCATCCTGCCATAGGCCCTACCATTCCCAATGTTTCATTAACAGCGATGCTAATGCTGGCTTTGGGGTATATAAATAAAGAAAACTAAGCCATATTTATGGTCAAAGTCTCTCAGGATCAATGGATAAATAAATCACTTTTTGTCAATAAAATTAAGTACATTTCACATTTTGGTGTACTGCCCCTTTAAATTAAATGGCAGTCAATCATGTCAAAATTAATATTTACTTACAAATTCTGCAAACTAAATGATACTAGAATCAAATTATGGTAAACCAGCTTTTTAATACTAATGTGGTTTGTACTTTGGAAAAAAGCTGCACATGATATAAAGGTAAAATGTATATTTCAGTTCTACAGGATATGCAAATGAAGTGTAATTTTACTAAAATCTTTTTTTATTTTATATAACATTAACTACATGTCTAATGAAGCTTTGATAAGAAATTAGCTGATATTTTGCTTTGATTGTTGCTTTTTTCAATAGTTTCTTCTTGGGGTCAAAATGTTGGTAATCGATGTATGTAAAATATGTCGGTAGCTTGAGGGTAAATTTTTTTTTATTTCAAGTATTTATAAAATAGCTTGACAACCCTGTTCGTAAGCTTTTAAATTACATCAAATTCAATCATTAACCTTTTCCAGTGATGAAGACATGGATGGGGTATGCAAAATGGGTCAACGTTAAGCACCTCTATCTCCTGAATGTTTTGTCATTCAGGTCCAAAAAGTCACTTTTCTGACCACTTCTACCATGGGCAAATATGTATGGAAAGTGTTGTTCAAATCAAAAAGGGTGTGGTCAAAAAGTGATTGAAATCAAATGGAACGACCCTATAGGTTTCCTGGAAGAAAATTCTTCATAATGAAAATCAAGGAAATGTCACAACTTAGGCATCTTCTATGCAGGATGTCAAAGTATGATATAATAGAAAGGGACAAAGATAAGAGCGTTACCTCAGGTAGCCGAAGTACTTTGCAATATTTTACACCATTTCTCAATCTGGAAGATGAGGGAAAAAGTATTAAAATGTGTGTTGTGTTGTAATGTGATCTGTTTTACCAACTAGACAGATTGATCTTCTAATGCTAAATGCAACTACAAATTCCACAAATACTTACTTTTTACACCTTTCACAGCTGTACATGTTGTCCCCTGTAAAACAATGAATTAAGAAATTACTGACCATTTATTTCATGTTCTGATTATGAATGGATCATACAGCTGAAATCTAGGCATATTATTAGACAACTTTATCTTGACAAGTTAACCTTTGAGCTCATCAGCAGCGAAAAAGGCAGCGAGGCAGTCCTCCAGTGTGACCATAGGACCCCAAAACCAGCTGGGGATACAGGACACCACAAACCTACAGAGGGGTAGACATGGGGGGGTGAATACATAGTAAGCTGTTACATATGCTTTCATACTTGTTACAAGATTAATACATAGGTTATTCCCTTGGAATGATGCATGTGCAATGTAAAGTGTTATCATTGCCAACTAATAATATAATCCAACAAATGAATTGCCATCTAATAATGTAAATAGCAGATATTAGCATTTTTTGTGTGCATCTCGTCTGATCCCTGGTGGTATCCATGGAGATGCAGGATGCCGATGGAACTGTGACTAGCCAGCCGGACAGAGAGCGAGCGCTAGCTAGCTACTTCTTTGAGAGTGAACAACAACAAGTCGGCAGGGGAGGAGGAAGAAGTGAGGCAGAGGCACGATTCTCCATAATGCTGCTGTGTGAACTTTATGATGTTAGCTCAGTTGATAGAGCATGGTGTTTGCAACGCCAGGGTTGTGGGTTCGATTCCCACAGGGGGTATGAAAAAAAAAAAATGTATGCACTGTAAGTCGCTCTGGATAAGAGCGTCTGCTAAATGACTAAAATGTAAATGTAAATGTAATGTTACAAACTACCGCTATCAATGCGGGCGGCGAGTATGCGTGATCGGAGTCCCCCAACTCCGCTGTGGAAGTCCTGCTCTATTGCACTCACGGATGTGTATGATGTTATTGTCCTGTTTATTTCTGTATCCCCGTCCCCAGGCTGGAAGGAAGTGTCTACTGTGTAACCTGTTTATTTTGTATGTTGTTGTTTTTTAACCGATCCAAACAAGAAGTTCCCTCACAGAAATATAAAGTTAATATAACATAATCCAGAGATGTGGCAGATAGAAATTCATTGAATAGAGCTAACACGATTCCTTGTTCTACATGACAGACCATCATACCTGTTCTACACCACACACTCCCGGTCTGCCCCCATCCCCAGCAGCCCCAACCCTCCAGCCCCATCCCCCTACCCCCCAGCTCCCTCACCTGCGTATGGAGTCCATGATGTAAGTGATCCAGCCCTGGGAACCGTAGACATCCAGAGACACCCCGGTCTTGGCTGGGAGGTTCTGGTGGATGGAGGAGTGTAGCTTGGCCAGGTCCTCCTTACCTGGGATGGGCAGGGACAGGTCCTGGAAGGTCTCCACTGTGGTCGACACCTATAGGGGGGAGGGGAGAGATGAGGAGGGAGAAGAGAAGAGGGGAGAGCGAGAGCGAGAGAGAGATGGTCTCAACAATCTGAATAGTGATAATCCAAACAAGCAGAATCCATCATATTCATGGATAAAGTAGGATCAAGTTTATGCATTAAAAACTGTGGTAAAATGTCTACAAATTGCAACACGTCAATGTTCAATATTCATGTGACAGTAGTGTGAGGTTTCAATAGAAGAAGTGGAGCTGAGTTATGTAAATGGCGCACTCTTGTGTTACGACACATGACACACAGCTCACCCTGTCACAAGTCAGACACTGGACCAGGCTGAGGATTGAGCCGTCGAAGATGTCTGAGATGACGCTGCGGTAGCGAGACTGCTTCTGCTTCTTGGCACCCAGGAACAGCTGGGCTGTGGAGGGGAGGATTATGGGTAACTTAGTTTGTGTGTAAGGGGATAGTGTGTGTCTTTGTGTGTGTGTGAGAGAGAGAGTGAGCGCACGTCACAGTGTGTATCTGTGTGTGTCGGTGGAGTGCGTGACAGAGTGTGTGTCTGTACGTGAATCGACCAGAACCCACCCCATACCTTTCTTAAATGAGTATGCGGGCCCTGCAGAGCGGAAGGGGCTGGAGCGAGTGGGGCTGGGGGAGAGTTTGGGGTGCAGTTCCTGGACAGTACGGACGGGGCTGCAGGGGCGAGACTGGGGGCGCTGCTGCATCGATGCCTCATTGTCTGGCTCTAGGTAGAGGTGGGTAGGAGAGGAAAGAGGAAGAGGGGGCTTTTAGAGATTACTTACTTGTACTCACACATCACTACAACAGGTCACTCCACACACAGAGACGCACACACTTACATTTTTTTTTTTAAAGTTCTACTTCCACCATTACGAGGCCCCTACCTCGAGTGCTGTTGCTCTGCGTCTGCCCCTGTGTCTTACTCGGACTCTGTGGCTTAGGGCTAGGGGGGGTCCCCTCCTCCTCCTCTGCTCCCCTCTCCAGAGCCCCCTCTTCGGCCGCTGTCGTGTCCACATCTGCGTCCTCGTCCATCTCCTGGGAGCCCCCGTGGAGGGGCGAGCCCGACACCCTTTTCTCCTTCAGCCTCTCTTTCTCTGAGATGGGCCCCCCTGTGCCTGTCCCCCCTCCTCCAACTCTCGGCCCCACCCCACACTCGTCCTGAATGAGCAGCTCGGGCTCCCCCAGCCCCCCTCCCTCCCCCCGGTCGCTGCTGGCGCCCGAGTCGCAGGAGAGGAACTCGTCCTCGGAGGGGGAGCGGTCGCCCCCGTCCCTCCGCTCATCCCCCTCCCCTCCCCCGCCACACTCTGCCAGTGGCTCTTTGAGCTCCTCGTGGAGCTGGTCCATCAGACAGCGCAGGAACTCCTGGGTGTCCTACAGTAGAAAACACAGAGGGAGAGTGTGCGGAGCAGTCCTATACACAGAGACATGTGTGTGTGTGTGTGTGTGTAGTGCGGACAGTATTGTATGCGTGTTCCCTGCAGCTCCTAGGGACAGACAGAGACAGCCATTGAGAGAGTGTGTGTGATGGTGATAGGAGGAAGCACAAGGACAAACAGAGAGAACATGCTCACCACACACAGGCTTAACTCAACACTATTTTTAGATCGAATTAGATAAATGGATTTTCCACAGCAGTCAAACCCAAACCAGTAAAATACACACAATCCCATTCCAATCAACCCAACATTGAACGCATTTCATCTGGTTACTGTGGGTTAGTTAGATCATGGCTGCATCCCAAATCGCACCCTATTCCCTATATACTGCACTGCTATGGGCCCTGATCAAAAGTAGAGCACTACATAGGGAATAGGGTGCCATTTGGGATGCACACCATTTCATAGTCTTCGCACCCTACTTCAAGATGCCAATCAGCTACACAACAATCAATCAACCAATCAAATTTCATTGTCCCCGGGGGGAAATTAGGTTTGTGGCAACAGGGGTCATTTTGGGGGGATGGGAGGGGACATAGGGAGAGGTGGGTTAGGTCAGGGGTCAGAGGGGCCGGAGGGCTAGGGGTCGGGCATTGTTTTGTTCCCTACCTGCTGGGAGCTTGCCCCTACCTGCTGGGCGTAGCCACGGAACATGGGGTTGACCAGCTTGATGCCCTGGGACAAACTGGTAGGGACTACGTAACTGGGCCTGGAGCAGAGAGAATGGAGAGAGAGGAGAGAGTGTGTTTTGTCAGACAGTGTCTTGCTGCATTCTTGGATTTCATCCTATGAATCTCTAGTCCAACAATTTGCACACTGAGAAGTACTGTACAGAGAGATAAGTACCTTAACAGAGATAAGTACTGTAACAGAGATAAGAAATATAGTGTCAAGTGTGTATGGTACCGTTTCTTGTGCCAGAGCTCAGAGATTAGTTTCTGGTAGCTTTTGCACAGTGCAGGCTTCTTGTCAGTCCGCACCAGTCCACTGCAGTCCAGGAAGAACTGAGTGAGAGGAGGACTGGAGAGGAGAGCAATTAGAGAGGAGGAGAAGGAAGAAAGAACTGGTCAGTCAATGTTTAAATCTATTGAAAACGAATACAATTACTTCTGCTGAGATGCAGGTACACAAGCACGCGCACATGCTCGCTCGCACACTCATTCACACATGCCCACGCAAACACTTCAGTGACAGGTCTCAGAACCATGTCAATCTATCTGCCATAGGTCCCCAGACTAATGAGGAAACAAGACAGGAAGTGACCTCACCAGTTGGACAGGGCTTGAAGTGCTGCGTTCATGTAGCAGGAGTTACCGATATTCTTCATCCCTGTCAGACCTTTGAGAGGATGAGATGTAGGTTAAAAAAAGCTATAATAACATCATACAGGTATATTTATAACATTAGGACTATATGGTAAGGGTTTGATACTGGCCACTCCACTGTGTTTACACCTAACATTTGGAGAACATGCATGACACAGACCCTGTCAGTTAATGATGACCTTCAGTGTATTACCGGTAGTTAAATGGATCTGGTACCTATTCTTAGGCTCCAAAGCAATTATATTTCTCCTAACCCTGAGCTTGCATCATCTAGCTCTCAGATCATTTGGGAGGTCTCTGCCCAAATCAGATTGGCATAATTCACTAAGGAATAGACCTGTAAAGCTTTTCAAAGGATGAAAGAACCGATTCTACAGAGTCCTAGACCTCGACAGCTGGCATTTGCCTGATCGATGTTACATTTTTAACATAATATGTTAATTTAAGCTGCAGATCATATTTGATAGATCTATGGTTGTGTCATCCATAAAGATAAAAAATACAAATGATATAACGCTAAGGGTATCAGTTTAACTGTGGATATGCTGGACTACAGTCTTTACTGTTATTGAATATATGCCATGACGATGAGAGAAGGGGGTCTGAGGTTACCTCTGGGTTTGAGCTCATCCTCCTCCGACTCTGACCACTCTTCTTCGGCTACCGCGATAGGGACCGCCTTCAACGGGTGGTGGTGACTCACTGGTTGATGAACTGCATCCTGGGAAAGTAAGTCATCGTTAAAAACAACAAATAATGACATCAGTGTCTGCCTGTGGAAAGCCAATTACACAATATATGAATACAGCATAGGCTGCATTTCAGCTCACAGGTGTCAATTGTGAGCTAATCAAAATTAAACAGAATAGTGGAGTAAAACTTTATATTAAATAAATGCTTAGAAATGCTTTATACATAGTACATAATACAGTACTTATGAATAGTTGATTAATGTTTACTAATGAAACATATGATGGCGTTACCCATATTTGATATAGGGCCCGTCCCAAATGACGCCCTATTCTCTATATAGTGCACTACATTTGACCGGAGCTCAAATGGCACGTAAACACAGTATAGTTGAATATAGTTGAGCTGACCTTTGTGCGATGGCGTACCTGGTGTTCAATAGCTTTACAGTGGTGGGGAGTGTGTGTGGCAGACATGGTAGGTACGGCTGCAGGCCTCTGCTCCAGAAACACCTCCCTCTCACACACATAGCACCAGATCCTGAACGTGGTCAGGTTCACTGTCAGGTTGTGTTTATTTGCCTAGGGGGATGAGCACACGCACACAAACAAACACACACACACAATAAGCTTTGAAAAACATTGTTGTTGCATGCTTTCTAGAAATGGCATCTCTCGCTACCCAAGGAAAAAAAAGCTTGGCAAAAAATTCACCTGTGCATGTAGGGTGCTGTGATCTGAAAAGGTTTCTCCACATCCAACATATTGACACTCGCTCTGACCAAGAGAAATAAAGTAATACATTAGACATACACATCTATGGGGTAAAAACAACAATCAATATAATCCATCTGAAAGAGTGTTATAAAAGCGTCATAATAACACATCCTGAGAATTATGTCATGGCCTTTGAATCTGTACAAGTCATCCATCTCAAAATATTTGGAGGGAAAACAGACCCACAGAAAACCCCTGTTGTTTACCTGCAGACAGGCCCAGAGGTTGGGGCCTCCTGCTCCACATGACTGGCAGGTTCCCTTCAGAACGGGACAGAAAACAAACAGTATTAGCTGAAAAACAATCATACAGCACCATCTCCCATGTGATTCTGTCAGACCACCAGAATGTGAAGGCAAATCTAGAAGACGTGACTCAAAAGTAAAATAAATGCATGATGTCACAAATTGCATCCATTCCATACATATTACAGATGCTTGACGCAGCAAATCTCTCTTGAAACCATTCACACTCACCTTGGATTTCTCCAGAAGCTCCTCCTTGGTGACCTCCCCTATGGAATTCAGGTGGGGACAAATGTCCCCCTGGTCACTCATGTTTATTAAACTTCTTCTAAAGATCGAATAATAAACAAAAAGGTATTCATCTATGACATTTTGTATGGGCAGGTAAAACATGAAATGGAAGCAAGCTGACACAGTAAAAGGCTACAAGCAGTTACACTTCAATCAAGGTGTGTGTCTATTACAAACTGTATGGAGAATTAGTAGTGCAGGGAATGTAGCTAACAATGAAGCTCTTTGATTTAACTAGCCGCTACTATACTCACTCAAACAAAGCTTTGAACTTGCTGTTGCATTCACTGAAGGGTCATTCCATATGATTTCAATCACTTTCTGACTGCACCCCTTTTAATTTAAACAAAACTTTCCATACATGTTTACCCATGGAAGAAGGAGTCAGAAAGTGGCTTTTTGGACCTGAATGGCAAAACATTCAGGAGATTGAGGTGCTCAAAGTTTTCATCACTGAAAAATATAAGCGATTAAGTTTGATATCATTTGAAAGCTTACAAACAGGGTTGTCAAACTATTTTCTGATGATTGAAAAAAAAAAGTGTCATTGTCATTTTTTAAACCTTTAACGTTAATTATCTAAAAATGTGTGAACTCCCGATTTACATCTTCTGAGGTGTTTGTGTTGGGCCCGCCATCGGCTGAGACAAAGCATACTCTTGAATACAGGGTGGGTGTCATGTTTTAATAATAAGCCATTTAGCAGTCGCTTTTATCCAAAGCGACTTACAGTCATGCGTGCATAGTTTTGGCTGATAACTGTTCTAAAATGTTTTTAAAAATTGAATCTTTGAAATGGTACCAAAAAGATAGTTGGAGGTCCACACATCAGAGTAGGTTCACTTGCATTGGAATATCCATTGTTATAAATTAAACTGTCAATCTTCCATAGGTAACCTATTGAAATCATAGAAATATTGATAATTGAATAGACATTCCCATTCAGGTTTACATTCAATGGTGGGTGGACCGGCAGCCATCTTTCTGGTAGTAATTGGAAATTTTAATTCAATTTAAATGTTAATGGTGCACTAGCTAAATTGCAGTGGTCTGAAGGGATAGGTCCAATCTATGAATAATATTTCAATGATTGTAATAACACCCACCCTGTATTCAAGAGTGTGCTGTGTCTGATGATGGGTACAACACAAACACCTGAGATTATGTCAAATAGGGTCTAAGATACAACATTTGTGAAAATTAAAAAAAAAGTGTTTTGATAATTCATGTCAAAGGTTAAATCACCAACAACAACAAAAAAATTATGATGACAGTGTCACACAGTGTGACCAAAACAAAGATATACACACGCAAGAGGCATATCTCATTTGATACAAAACATGGATTTAATTTCTTTCTGAATTTATGTTTTTTGTAGAACCACCTGCAATTGAAAACTGACATTTCTAAGATACTTTTTTTCACCAAATCTAGAAAGAAGAAAGTATCGTCAAGAACAAGTTAGTTGAAAAATCTATGGGGTTTGAATGGGGCTTTCCTGTAATGTTCAGTAATGGTCACCAAAAATATTTGTTTATATCCAATGATGTATATAAACCCTGGATTTCAGATGCTATGTATTGGCCATTGAGAGGCTTTGAAGCCACTGGTCGGCCATATTGCCACTTCCCAGAAGGAGCAGTCCTCCATAGGAATTAATAGAATTCTACAGTATTTCAATTAAATGTTAAGGACAAAATTACATGTATTTAAGTAACATTAGTCATCTCTAAAAATGACACTTTTAAGGATAATGTTTATATATATCTTCGCGAAAACGAATGTAGACATAAATAAATGCATTTCTATAGCTGCCAAAATATGTTTTACAACGGTGAGGGAGCGCCAAGATGAAGGCACGGTGGATTAAACACAATACCCCCGATCAGTCATCTAGTGTATATATAAATCATTGATTTATGTCACATTATCTGACATACAATTTGCCTTTTCATTGAACTAAATAGGGTTGGGGTTCCCACAAGGCCATATTTCCATGTTACAGGGGTTGTTTACGACAAACAGACGGAAGTTGGCCTGTGCTAATTAGTTATCTGCGTCTCCGAACACCTGTGTGTAAACGGAAGACGGATGCCACAGGTGTTGTCACTGAAAAATAGTGTTGGCTGCAACTGAGTTAAAACAGTGTACATTTTGCATTTGTTAAATAATTTTGATGTGATATGAAAATAGTGGGCTTTATCTTTCTAGAACCGTACGGCAATTGGCAATTGAGAATCGATTCACGTTTAGATTGAGTATTTAGCTGCCAGAGCCAATTCGCCTCATGTAAGGTCTTTGAACTATAAGGAGTAACGTCAGGCTCCTTTAGTTCAGTATTGGGCTAGCGTACAATCTGTAGCTACCTAAATGGGTCAACTTTGAGCATCTCTGTCTCCTGATTGTTTTGGCATTCCGGTCCAAAAAGTCACTTTCTGACCACTATTACCATGGCCGGGAAACATGTATGAAAGGTTTCGTTCAAATCAAAAGGGGTGCAGTCAGAAAGTGATTGAAATCATAGAACGTCGACCCTGTAGCTAACTGCCTGACAACCCTTAGGCATTCTAGAAATTGATTATCAATTCATTGATCATCTAGCTATCGCACATCAGCCAGCATAGGCACATTTTTTAGAATTAAATCAAAGACTAGACAACATTTTCCTGCACAATGGTTTGGCCACAGAGACACCGAAATATGACAGCTCTGCTGCAAACTTGAAGGCCCTGTTTTCTGCCTAGCACCAGACATTAAGGATGACATCGACAACAAATACATTCATTGCCGGAAATATATTTACCAACACCAGGCGATGTAACAACAATATTCATAACAGTTCATTTACGGGAAACCGTGCGTTAAAGATAGGCACACAGTAAGTTAACATCTAGCTAGCGATGGTATCCCGTCTAGCTAGCTAGCTAATGTTACATTAATGTAGTACTGTTAGCTGCTGCCGTCGTACAGAATGGTTTTACGTCAGTGTTGTTATGCACAACGTCAGCAAGAATGGGAGCTTGAATGGCTTTTCAGCCACGAGTCTGTGAGCATAGTAAAAACCTACAGGTGTTATAGACTGTCTATTCTAAAGTTCAATCACCTCGACGACACACTCTCTTAACCTCAGTAAACAAAAACTGTACATTACCAAAACTATGTGGACACCTACTCGTCGAACATCTCATTCCAAAATCATGGGCATTACTATGGAGTTGGTCCCCCCCCTTCTGCTGCTCTAACAGCCTCCACTCTTCTGGGAAGGCTTTCCACTAGATGTTGGAACATTGCTGCAGGGACTTGCTTCCATTCAGCCACAAGAGCATTAGTGAGGTTGGGCACTGATGTTGAGCGATTAGGCCTGGCTCGCAGTCGGTGTTCCAATTCACCCCAAAGGTTTATCGATGGGGTTGAGGTTAGGGCTCTGTGCAGGCCAGTCATGTTCTTCCATACCGATCTTGACAAACCATTTCTGTATGGACCTCGCTTTGTACGGGGGCATTGTCATGCTGAAACAGGAAAGGGCCTTCCCCAAACTGTAGCCAAAGTTGGAAGCACATAATCATCTGCCATCAGAGTATGCTGTAGCATTAAGATTTTCCTTCAGTGGAACTAAAGGGCCTAGCCCGACCCCTAAAAAACAGCCCCAGACCATTATTCCTCCTCCACCAAACTTTACAGTTGGCACTATGCATTCGGGCAGGTAGCATTCTCCTGGCATCCGCCAAACCCAGATTTGTCCATCGGACTGCCAGATGGTGAAGCGTGATTCATCACTCCAGAGAATGCATTTCCACTGTTTCAGAGTCCAATGCCAGCTAGCTTTACACCACTCCAGCCGACGCTTGGCATTGCTCATGGAAACCAATTTCATGAAGCTCCCGTTGAACAGTTCTTGTGCTGACATTGCTTCCAGAAGCAGTTTGGAACTTGGTAGTGAGTGTTGCAACCGAGGACAGACGATTTTTACGCACTACGCGCTTCAGCACTTGGCGGTCCCGTTCTGTGAGCTTGTGTGGCTTGCCACTTCCTGGCTGAGCCGTTGTTGCTCCTAGATGTTTCCACTTCACAATAACAGCACTTACTTACAGCTCTAGCAGGGCAGACATTTGACGAACCGACTTGTTGCAAAGGTGCCATCCAATGAAGTCACTGAGCTCTTCAGTAAGGCAATTCTACTGCCAATGTTTGTCTATGGAGATTGCATGGCTGTGTGCTCGATTTCATATACCTGTCAGCAACGGGTGTGGCTGAAATAGCCGAATCCACTAATTTGAAGTGTGTCCACATATGATTGTATATATAGTGTAGCTAGGTGATAATGGCACAGTTGAAAATACAGATGAGAACAGCTGATCTGCGTTTTGTTCTGGACTCGAGCCTAGTAGAGGCCATCAAGTAACTAAAACTGTGCAAGTTAACACATGTTACATTGCTATGTTGTACAGCAGCTACTGGTAGCTATATGCAAATGCATTTACAATACATATTTAAAATAGAGACATGAATAACCAATATTTTGCCGCGTTCACATGCTAGTCGGAACTACGAAACTCTGAAAGGTCCGACTTGCTAACTGGTTGTGGTTAAACAAGCAGTTAGCAAGTCGTGTTCTTGCTAACTGTTCTACCAGTTAGCAAGTCGGAAATTACAGTTTCCTAGTTCCAACCAGCACTTGAACGCGGCATTTTACGCTTTATACACAAACAGAGTAAGTATTACGTCATGTTCGGTTTTGGGGGAAGTGGCGCATAGGTCCGTCGGCGAAATCTGTTCCTCCGTATTATTATTGTTGCAAAAGAGCAGCTGCGTACACAGCGGAGCGGTTCCTGGGGCTGAAAGATTTATCGGCGAAGGAGTTACATGGAATATTGTCACAATCCTTAACACCCTCTCAGGCCCTAGAGCCTTTGAAAGAAGAAGGAAAAAGTGGAAGTTTTGCTTTGTTTTGTCAATGTATTATTTTTATTTGGGATTAAGTTAGTTTCCCTATTACGTATGGATTTTCTTTTTACCTTGTT